TAAAGATCATATAAGGAAAACAAAATTTCTATGAATATTATATATTTCCCCAAAAGAGGCGTGGTTTGTGAAACAGCTGTCTTTACAAAATGCAATCTATAGCTCAAGAACATACTTATTTTTTTGAAAAGCTACAAAGAATAGCACTGCATTGACTACACGCGAATGGCCTGCACTATTTGTTAGAAATAACCACTGGTTTTCAGTTTATCACCACATCACTTATTAATGAGATCTTCCGAAGACAAATTCTAAAATAAAAATATAAAAAACAAAAAAAACAAAAAAAAAAAACAAAAAAACAAGTATATGGAAATGGTTGTATTTTGTAATTTCATTCGTTTAAACGGGCAGTGCATTAGAATGAAATTAATTTCTCCTGTGTGTTTTCATCATATGTAGCATAGAGGGCGTTAGGTTTTCCCGCTTCAAAATTATTTTCGCGGTATTTTATTGCCTATGTTATAATTCAGCACGACACCGTCAATCTGAACAGACGAATTTTCTTGGTTAATTTTACTTCTGGTCAAAGTTTATTCAGCTTTATATTTAAAAAAAAAAAAAAAAAAGTTTTTTACTTGATACTAATGTTTGAATTATATATTATATGTGTAGATATATGTATGAATAATGATTATTTCATATTAAATATAGAGCATCGGCGTTGTCGTGCGACTATCCACTTTACTAAGTCTTTGGTATTTATTATAGCCTTTTATGGCGTGTTTATTCAGAATGTTTATATATACTTGGATATTTGGTACAAGTATTGGTTTTATGTCTACATTGATGGGTGGTTTATACCAGGAGAATATATATTAATTTCATCCAATACTTGATGTAGGCACTTAATTTAACAGGTCCATCATATTCGTCCAAATGCTTCGCTTCAAAAGTAGCTCTAAGCCAACACAGCAGGTGGCTAGTTTATACCTTATCATACATATACGTCAACGGATATATCAATGACTTTTTTTTATTAATGCAGATAGCAGGAAAAAAAACATGTCTATCGAAATTGTTTCATTTTTATATGTTAATTTCATCTACTACTTGAAATAGGTACCTTAATTGTAATGAGTTACAAATTATGACTAAAATCAACAAAGACCCATCGAAACAACATCTGATTCAAAAATTTAATAATAATACTTTTAGATATTTAGATGATATATTGGCTCTCAATAATGACGACTTCAGTATGTACACTAAAGAGATTTACCCTGCCGAACTGACTTTGAATAAAGCTAATACTAACAATGAACACTGCCCTTTCCTGGATCTTGATATCTTTATCTTTAACGGGAAACTTAATACCAAAATTTATGATAAAAGCGATGATTTTTCTTTTCCTATTTTAATTATCCATTTTGAGTTGGTGACGTTCCCTTGTGGCCATCTTATGGTGTTAATATATCCCAACTTGTTCGATTCGCTCGTGTATGTAGCAACGTATTTGATTGCAACGAAAAAAATCTCTGTATTACTGAAAAATTATTACACCAGGGTTTTCGATATCACAAACTAGTCAAAACATTTACTAAATTTTATCATCGGTACAAGGACATCATTCGTAAATATAAATCAACTTGCAGACATCTTATACGTTCAGGTATTTCACATCCAATATTTTAAGGTAATATTCTTTACAAAGCACAAAAATGTCGGCATTCACCTCAAAAGCTTACCAAACCTTTAAACAGACTTATTCGGAAATGATATAGTTACGATACTGTTGTCAAGTCATTAAGGATTGCATATTTTTGTATCAATATTGATTCACTCATAGGGTCTTTGCATCGGAATAAACACATTTATTCTAAAACCAGTTGTTGGCATGATACGGGTTATGTTCTTCTCATATATTTTATGATGGTATGATACAAAATCCTTAACGGGAGGGATTGTACTTGATTTTCATATGATGAAGACATAATCTTTCAATCAGTTTAATTGAGGTTTTGAGCTGGCATGTCAGTAACTGCTAGTAGTCCTTTGATCATTTATGTATCATTGTCATTTTGCTTAGTTTCTTTTGTTACATATTCTGACATCGGACTCGGACTTCTTTTAAACTGAGTTTTACTGTGCGTATTGCTATGTGTTTCTTTTTTCTACATTGACTAGAGGTATAGGGAAGGGTTGAGATCTCACAAAACATGTTTAACCCCGCCGCATTTTTGCGCCTGTCCCAAGTCAGGAGCCTCTGGCCTATGTTTTTTAGTTTTAGTTCATTTGTGTGTTTTGGAGTTTAGTGTGACGTCCATTTTCACTGAACTAGCACACAATTTTATTTAGGGGCCAGCTGAGGACCACCTCCGGGTGCGGGATTTTCTCGCTGCATTGAAGACCCATTGGTGGCCTTCGGCTGTTGTCTGCTCTTTAGTCGGGTTGTTGTCTCTTTGACATATTCCCCATTTCAATTCTCAATTTTACCTAATTTAGTTGGTCCACCATATTCTTCAGAATGCTCCGCTCAGAATGAAGCGCTAAGACAACGCAGCAGTAGGTTATTTTAGTACATAATTATACAAAAACGTCAACACATGTATCAATAACTTTTATTTGATATTATAAAGCAATCTTTTCTTGATCTTTTTAAAATGTGATATCTAATTTCGTTTTTCATTGTCTGTGATATGATGGGAGTGATGACCACGATTGTATCTATAATGTTATTTTACATTATTCACGAGAGAATACTTTACACATATTAGTTTATTAAAAGTTCCATGAGTTTTATATGTTTTCATATCAAAAGACACGATCGATTGTTCTCTATATGACCAATTGCACACACAAACATGTAAGAGTGCTATTAACCCCGAATACAATTCTGCATTTCTTTTTAATGCCGGTAGCAGGAAATCAAAATGAATAAAGTTTTGATTTTGACGGGAGAATAGTAAAACCTTTTTTTCTTTCATAAGTATACTCTAAAAAATACATATTATATACTACGTCATCCATGATGAATTGAAAGTAAGAACTACATCATCTTCATGCAAACAAATCCTTTTCAACAACTCTTTGGTTGATCCGAATCTTGTCTGTCGCTGCGTCAAAATGGTTTCTTTCATCAAAAATACCGTCTTTTCCAGTTGTAGTCTAAATTTGCTGCTCTTTCTGCGCGCATGACGATCCAAATTAAAAACCTTGTATATTAAACAATTTTTTGTTTTGATAATAAATATTGAGAGAATCGGAATTCACCAAAACACATTTTCAAGACTTAAACTGCTTAATGGGTGCATGAGAAAAACACGAGCTATACAATATTAGATTACAAATATAAAAAATCAATTGAAATAAAGAAAAACTATATCTTTTTAACGATACTCGCAGTTGTTAAAATAACATTTACGGTTACCAAGTTTACTACTTTTAAAGTTAGCTAAAGTTGTTGACCTACTGAGATGATCCTCAGTCCTACACGTTGATATCGTTCAGAATACTTTAAATCTTGTGTTATACATCCAAGGATGTTACTGAAACTATAGTATATTCGACCAGAGTTAAAGCTGAAAAAACGGAACATTTTATTATCGCTTTAGATTATAAGCAAGGGAAACTTTTTGACGACGAAGGTAGAAGCATTACCCTTAACAAAAAAGGCAACAGTAGTATACCGGTGTTCAAATAAGTAAATAAATCCCAATAAGTAAATAAGCTCAAACAAAAATTTAAACATGAAAAAGAACAATTCTGAAATTAATGAAACGGCATAACACTATCTTTTTATCATCAATACTACACATAAAATGCCATAATAACGACTCAACAGGCGAGAACAACATGAAATCTGTTCGATAATTCAGAACACATTGGAGATATCGAATCAAAATCTGAAGAAAGAAATTGCAGACAGATATTGTTGAACAATCTCCCCTTTTATATATATTTGACAGTAGCAACTTCTTATGATAAAAATTAAATTTGTCCTGCTGAAACATTTTCGATTTAGCTAGTCAGCCAACGGTATCGGGAAGAGTGTGTACTGAACCCAGACTACTGTTAACATCAGACGTTTTCAAGATTTTTACATGCTTCAAAATGAAATCAACTTTGACAAAAAAAATCATTCTTAGGCAAAACATGTGAGTGTTTTGTTTATTTTCAAAGAAATCACAAATTTCTGTTGCAAAAGGAGAATCGTGACCTCTGAAGGTGATCATTGACCTAAGGAATAGCTATCGGAAATGTCGAAATATCGCAACACAGCGCAATATATGCCTATCAAATGAACGCATTTTTGAATTGCTTGTTTATATCAAACTTCGTTTAGTGTGATACGATAAATATATCTTCATGACGAAGACTGATAACAGGCCACAACCATAAGAGAATAATAAGTTTCATAACAAGTGAGAATTGAATATCGCTTGTTATCAACTCGAGTATAAGTACGTTTGTTATTATTATTCAAATTAAATAGCAAGAGTTGATATCAAGCGATATCCAATTATCACAAGTTGTTAAACCTATTTCTCTCATGGTGAACATTCTCATTGTGTTGAGTTCCACGAAAACCATATTTCCTGTTTCGGCCTCAAACTTTAAAATCAGACATTAACAAACTTTTTCTACACTTCAAAATGTAATCAATTTTAACAAAAAAGAATATTTTCAGGTGAAAAGTTTGAGTGTTTTGTATATTATTGACAAAATCCCATATGTCCGTTGCCATGCAAGAAATGTACATCGTCTTAAATTCTGAAAGTCAGCAATGAACTAACGAATAGCCAATAGAAATGCCGTAACATCGTCTCATGATGCTGGATAAGCCAATCATATAAACTCCGTGTAGTGTTACACCAGAAATATCTCTTCATGCAAACAATAGATAACAGGCTGTGACAACGAGAGAATATCGTTTACAAATCTATTTCCAAGAGTTACAGTTTGTTGGTAAGAAAAAATGAAATTTGCAATTTGAAAAGAATAAGATATTTTGGACTTCAAAACATGCAAAAAGACAAATTTATTTGTACCAATACAATGTCTGTTTATATCCTATGTCATTCAAATAAAACGTAATCAACAGTTCTAAACATGCCTTACTGTTCGATATTAATTGTTTTTTTCTACAATTTATACGAGTAATGAAGTTCTAATAAAACATAATACTTCTGTCTTCAGTAGTGACATACATGCTAATGACAAAAGAAACATCCGTCACATGTTTTTTTTCCAGCGTAACTTTCGGTGTAGTATATCCACCCGGCTTCAGTAGGTTTTGGATCATCTATTAGAAGGTCCGTCCCAAAGGTAAGGAGCTCACATCTGTTGATATAATAAAGAAAAAGCTATTTAGCAATTTTGAAACTGTAATTGTATTTTTGTTTAAGAAAGATTTTAAAACAACTGTTGATTTGATTCTATTTAACCATAGGTTGGGCATATATGTTCGATTATCTTATCCTAAGAGATAATGAATACTAACACAAATGCCCAACCTATGGTTAATTTTTGTAATGTTGTCAACCGTAAAAGCCCTATACACTCGAAACTGTTCTTGCTGTTCCTTTACCCCATATTATAATATTAATAAATTATATCATTAACTCACATTTTATTGTTATTTTTATCTAACTTTATTATATTCTGAGATGTACAAGAAGCATGAAAACACGCGGTGTTTACATTTGATGCCGGAAGCATACATAAGACGTTGACTTGTTTAGTTATGAAAGGCGATAACACTATTTTGCGGAATTTTGGTTTTATAAACCGAAAGAACAACTGACATGGACTGATTTTGGTTATTTTGCATGAGATAAGAGATAACCGTATTGCAATTGTAACTTTGACAATTTCAAGACTTTTGCAAGGATTAAACCAAACTACATCAGCTGAAGATTGCCCTAGAAGTATGAAGTAACGTATATCTCGGGTTTACGGATAATTTCTACCCAAACAGTCCCTAACAGTTTCCGCCAACGTGAAATACTTTATATTGGATAATTTAAGACTCAAGTACACAGACGTCATACATTGAATGGGTAGATTTTGAGGAACGGGTGCAAAATTTGGTTATGCAATGAGTGTTTCGCCTCAACCTGCAAAAATGTAAGGAAATTGAAAAATTTGGCGGTGGAAGCGTCAATATTTGGACATTAATATAATGCAACTGCAGAAGAAAGCTATCGCGTTTCTAAGGAAATCGAACGACTCAATGTTATAAAAACATTCATACATTCATAATATTTTTGAAGCAACATATTCCCAATGTTACAGGCAAAGAGGTATGTCTCAGCATTCTACTGCCCGACACCATAGAGCAAAGCATATTTACATGGCTCTCAAAATCGCCGGATTTGAACCTTACAGAACATCTTTGAGACGTCAACAAGACTTCAATTATTGGACAAACGTGAACAACAAAGGATACCATAGTTTTGATACAAATTTTGCTCGATCCATGCCAAAGACATGCAGACCAGTTTTAGCCGCATATGGTGGTCACAATAGATACCGACTTTAACGTCACAAGAAATTAACCAAATTTTCCTAGTTGACTGTAAATTTGTTCTATATACCAAACAACTGTTGTTATAAACAGATTTGAAATGCATTTTTAACCGCATTGTATGCTTCTTTTTTTGCACAGTATATAATTATGTTAATACAAAAGTCTTCAGAATGTCTGTCTCTTTTTTGCTTTATATCGATATTTTATTGACGTTAGGACATTAGGAAAAATGTCCTTCTCATAATTGTATTTCACACATTCATAATCTTATTTTCACCAAATGTAAATTGTGTCATATTTGATTTGATTTTAAACAACATGATTCACAATATCTATATAAAAACAAATACAATTAGAAAACTGAGAGCTTTAGAGCAATCTTAAGTGAAGACTTGCGTTAATTGTTTTGTAAACAAATTATCTTTAAAACGTGTAAATGATGAGGAAAATATTACCTTTTATCCTGGTTGTGGTATTTAAAAACTACACAAGTGTTTAGTTGTGCACACATCACAGCACAAGGTAACTTCTCTGAGGAGAAAATACCAAGACTTAAAAGTACAACTCTCTTATCGGGTTCTTGGCAACTGTTGAAATACCCGGTGGAGTTTTCTGGATCTTAAATTTTGAAATAGGCTATTATTCAAACAATCATGAAAAAATTCAAATTCTTGATAACCGTGAACTTTACAGTTCATCAGTGTCAATATAGAATGTTAAGTAAACAAGCCAACAGACAGAAAAAGTTCATGTTATAACGTTGTCTCTGATTTTAAATGCTTTAAACATGTATTTCCCTTAATTAGTTAACATTGTATGTTCTATTCCCAATTGTGTTATCTTAACTGGGTGTTTATTTACATAGCGGTTGATGAATGCATAGCAAGAGACAATTACACTGTCAACGCACCAAGTAATGCTCCTTTTTAACTTCATGCGATTCCCTCAGTTTTGCTTGTATTCTTGCTTTGTCTTTTTACTAGATATATAAGTTATAGTCATCGGTTAACTACTATTGCCTTAACTCATTTTCTTTTTACTCAAAAGTTCAATTCAAAGCATTTGGCCTAAATCAACGAATTTTTTAATGTATTTGTTTATATTTCGGGAATAAAATTCGTTCTCAATACATTGCAAAATGTACATATGAAATACGGTACATATGCGACAGGAAAACTCAATCTTAAGCATTTTGGCAGCATCCAGTTTCTACTGCTAACGATTAAGTTAAAGTTTTATATCAAAAAGTACTCCATGGGGCACAAAAGATAGATTCCTCATCAAAATAAAATTGTAAATCAAAGTAGTTTCTAATGTCTTTACAGAAACGACACTTATAAATGTTATCAATTAATCTACTGCCTCTTTTTATTATTTGAAACATTTATATATTATATTTTAATAGCAAAAGAAAAAGTAGCAATATGTATTTAAATTTTGTTACAATAATAGTAGTAGAAACATGAAAAAATACTTTCGATTGTGCATTTATGACGTTTTTCAAGCAAATTCCTGTTTCCATGGCAACCAACACTTCAACTTTCGGAATGATTATCATTTTTGTTGTCAGTGCATCATGACAAACCCATGATATAAAAATAAAGCAAATCCTGAAGGATGCATTTCTTATTTTCTTTGAAATTCTTTGATGCTTACAAAGAATGACCTAATGTATAAAAGTTGTTGAAAAGTGAATCTCAAATACCAGCAGCTCTGACTATTTAAACCAGATCTCTTCAAATCCAATGTCACCAATCAACTTTGCCCAGTTCACAGAATCTGACGTTTTCAGGCAATTGATATACATTTCATTATATAAGGAGTGTGGCTGTCAAAAGTACACCTCTCTAAATCCTTAGTTATTTAGTTCATCTTTAACATGTTTAATTAAGTTTGCCCAGTTCATCGATTTTAAAAGTTTTCAGTCGAAATCTATACACATCTCTTCATTTTGTAATTCAGTCATTATCGACACACAGTTCATTATTTGTAATTCAGTCATAAAAGTAATTAGACCGAGAGCATGATGGGTCATAGAATTGTTTTGATTTAGTGGAAAGAGTTGATTAAATAACACTGCACCACAATATGACAAAGAATACAGAGTACAAGAGTAGTTTGAGGAATGCATATGAAATGACGAAACAGTGTTGAATGTGCATGTTTTGACTTCAGTCTGTATGCATGTTTAACATATCTAAAACACGAATTTACCATGGTTTCATAGTCAGATCTTATGCGAAGCACTTAGGTATTCATTATTAAATTTTGATATGCTTTCCTTGTTCTATAAGGATTTATTTGTCATGACTCAACTTTCGATTTCATAAGGAAACGTTATCTCAATAGATAGACGATCTCGTGAGAAACTCACATAAGGACAGTTGTCCGTTTACAAGTTTAGAAATTATAAAGAAACTAAAATTTCAACATCCTAAGGCAAAGCTGTCCTTAAAATGATTTGACTATCATTTTTATGTCATATTTTGTATATGTAGCTCTTCATCTGTTTCGGTTCTTTTATTTCGCTGACTTTCAAATATTCGGCATTGAACGTTCCTGATGAAGATAAATAAAAAAGGGCTTTGGACACATGAAATGTATTTAGTGTTGTTTTCATATTTTCATTGTTATTTATATCATATTCCCTTAACGTCAGTTCCTTTGGGTAAATTCCAGCATGATATATAGATACAATTGATTATCGAAAGCAAAACTATCATAATAGTAGCAGTAAGTGTTTTTTTTAATGTTTTCTTTTATCAAATGGAATCTAGACGGACATTTACTTTGGTCATAAATTGTAGCCCAGTCATGCAAATAGTTAAAAAAACCCAAAGAATAAAATGTCAAATTTTGAGTTATTTCTCCTAAAACATAAGTTGTATAAAACTTGATACTTTACATGCTATGTTTTTCGTTCATTGTTTTGTACATAAATAAAGCCGTTAGTTTTCTCGTTTGAATTGTTTTACATTGTCTTTTCGGGGCCTTTTACTGTGCGGTATGGTCTTTGCTCATTGGTGAAGGCCGTACAGTGACCTATAGTTGTTAATTTCTGTGTCATTTGGTCTCTTGTGGAGAGTTGTCTCATTAGCAATCATACCACATCTTCCTTTTTACATTTTGTTTTTCCAAATATTTTCCATGATAGTCAATAACACTGCATGTTTCGACTATAATACAATATAACATTTAAAATCAATTAATTCTCTATATATTGCCACTGATGAATTAAGTCGCTTCTAATAGAAATGTTTGACTTTTATACTAATAAGTGGGCTTTTAATACACGCTGCAATTAAAACTTGGCTTTCTTTCCAAAGCGAAAGAAAACGTCATATTAGAATTGCCAGTGAATGGCAAAATGAGTCGTTTTTTGATGTTGGTCCCGTTGACCTATTTGAAGATTATATTTTGCCAGTCATTTCTTCTGTCTATAGTTTTTTCTATTTACTAAAGTATTACTTTCCCTTATACGTTATATTACTTATTTGATCTTTTGACATACGTTTCAAATATTTCATGGGTATTACCGTGTATTACCTCACGACAATAAGTTGTGTAGCATTGAAGATACCATCTGACCTTAACTGCACTTTCGAGTAATTGATTTTTCAGGTATATATTTGACTTCACCCAAAACCCACTTTATATTCCTTGCTTGTCATGACAAGCCCTTTTCATTGCTTTAAAGGAAAGCAATCAGCGTTCATATGCACCGCATTCTATCTTATAAAAAATGCATCATACGTAACAATAAAAGATATCTTTATAGAATGCTTTTGTAATCGTAGATGTTGTTATAATTTATTACAGGCTTTTTTTCATTTTTTTTAAATATACAAAAGTTTATAGCCATCGTTTGCTGATGTCAACATTTACTAATATATGAATTGTATATATACGTTATTTCAATATTTCAAAAGCATTTACAATATTTGATTACTGATATCTATTTATATCTACTTACGATTTTGACATCTGTCCCCATGGTAGTTATTGACACAGCTGCACGTGTATGTTGATTCGGATGAAACACAATTCCCGCCATTTTGACAGTTGACCCCGTCACAAGGAGATATCGCTTCACGACAAAAAATGAAAAATAGGTTTTTATTATATTTATCAACTCTTAAATCAGATAGAATGAATAAAGCTTATTGAATAAACAAAAATAAAGCCTGCTAATGTAGCTATACCAGATATGCCAGTATGAAATGTGTCAATTAGTTAATTTGTTTCGGAAAAGTTAAAAATTGCCAAGCAAATATCTTTCATACATTTTTTAGTAAATGGCAAACGAATATAAAAAGAAATCATATCAATGAAACCAGGCATATAGATATCGATCAGAGCAATGATCAAAGAAATTAAAAAAAGTATTGTAAAGGTCTTACCAAAAGGTAAACCCAATGCTGCCCCAATATTGGATACAGCTTGCGATGTCATGAAGCCACCACAACCTCCCATTTGCATCTCCCAATCAAAATAAAAGTCAGCACCCATGTTTTTACTGGATGTTAACGAGGATGAACGATCTATCCATCCCTTCATGAAAGTGTTGGAACTACCTTTTCTGCCTATGACATATGAAAAATCAAATAATTTATTTTTAGTGTTCAAATTACTTAAAATATATTTTTAAGTATCATCATTATAGCAGCGCCTGCATATGAAACATATATTCAATCCTTCTCGAAATATACATGGCAACGTAATAATTTTGAAGGTTCATTTCAAACACAGTCGTCGATTGCTATACATTAGACCTCCTAATTTGTAGATTCATACGTACATGTACAAATCGACAAAACAGGAATTCTAAAGAAAAAACCTTACGACGATTATGAGGATTTCAATTTTGAGGTAATAAGTTTGTCTTTTTATAATTAATTGCATTCGTGCGGTACATGCGCAGAATTTTAATTTTACACTTAATTGTTATCAAAGGCTTGTTTTAAGTATTCAATTTTGATAATCTTTGATCCTATGATTTTATCATTTAAACATTAAATTATATTAACTATGAAAAACTAACCATTTTTATTTAAAACAATTTATCAGATTCCTTTACGAGATCTTCTGCATGTAAGAATGATTTCTTACAAGTAACATACTAGCCACAGCTCCGTGTTGAAGGCCGTACTTTGACCTATAATTATTTAATTTTTACACATTGTGACTTGGATGGATAGTTGTCGCACTCATACCACATCTTCTTATTTATATATAGTGTGGAATGGTTGTATTTTGTGAGTTTTGTTTTTCTTTAAACATATACTGTTTATATTTTAAAAAAAATTGTTTTGCCATGTTGGTTGTCTGTTTCATTTGATTTGTTCGCATAATTCCTTGATTTCAAATGTGTACTATTATTTACCAGGGTTTGCATTATTCGGATTGTAATAGAACGTTATATAACTGTTTGGATTTCTGTCACAATTTTTAAACGTGTAGTCTACTCCAGCAGTACGGTATCCTTGTGTATTGTTATTTGTGGCTAAACTCAACGGTAAGAATCCAAGAAAAATGTATGGTGACATAATGTTTAGAGTGCTTCTCCGTGGCCCTTTGTAACTCGTAAAACTGTTATATCCGAAATAAAGGGTGGACGAGTTTTGATATGATAACAAGTTTTCTACGGAAACCTCTTTCTGTATACCACTACTCCATCGGATACGTGTTTTGGCAAACTTTCTGGTCGAGTACAACTTTGACATAATAACTGCTGTTCCATATGACGCCTTTGAAATATACGTATATCCCCAGCTTTCTTCGAAAGAACAGTAAACTCTGATTGATTTATTACTATGATAAACTGTATATTCACCACTCGGATTCCGATTGTTCGACTGGTATATCTCCTGGCAAGAACCTAGAATGTTTAAACATTTGCTGATTGATTACAAAATCTACAATATAAAGTTCACTTTATTCCGATTAAAATATAATCTCTTTGAGATGAATCACTGAATATAAGCATTTCTTGATCTGATACCGTCGAGACGGATAGACAATAGAACGGACATGATATATAAACAACTACGGGTAACTGTAAAGTCGTCAAACTATACAAGGCATAGGATTGAAAGCCAACGACCTGAATGTTGACAAAAGAGATATTTCAGCTTCCATTTTATGAAGTTTCTATTTTTAAGTATCATCATTCTAGCAGCGCCTGCATATGAAACATAATTTTCTCAGTTGATACGATATGCCTGAGGTTCCATTTCCTATTATGATTTCTTTAATTGAGAGTTGTTGCTTTCAATCAAGCTTTTAAACCAAGAGTTTCATGTTGTGAAGATAAAGTCTTCCTTTCGAATTTTACGGACGCCTTCACGTGTCGGCTGACTGTTTCATATCTGTTTTACATGACGACAGATATGTTCCAAAATGGCGTCATCATATGCCTTTTCGTTTTACTCGAATGTGAACTACTGAGAAGAATTATTGTTAGGTTTGTATTTACAGGAGCAACACGACGAGTGCCACATGTGGAGCAAGATTATGCTTACTTTACCGGTGAACCAAAGATCATCTCTATTTTGGTGGGGTTTTTGTTGCTAAGTCTTTGTTTTTCAATTTTATGCTTTATAGACTGTTGTTTATCTTTTGATCGCTTTTCGTTTCTGTTATGGCATGGTCAGTTCGGCTTATGAGTTTGACTATCCCTTTGGTGTCTTCTGTACATCTTTTCTATAAATACACATGGACTTTTAATACTTTATGATATGTTTATGTCGAAATGTATTAAAACCGGAACATAATCAAATATAAAAATACTGTACTTAGAAGTACAGTACCTATTGATTATTGATAGGAATAATGAATCAACCGGAGAATTTCCGAATGTATTATGACAATAATTCATAAAAGTTCATTGATTTCTTACATTGCACTGTCAGTTCGGTTTCTAGTTTAAATGTCCTTTTGGAATCTTTGGCTTCTCTGTTTTTTAAATCAAGGTAATATGTTTGATTTGCAATGGATTATATTGTTATATTCCGTATATTTTCATTTATTTATACGAAGGGGTCGTTTATACATGTCGAGGATTTCTGCATGTTCCGACACCATTGTGATCCTGTTTAAAGGAATGAGCGTCTTAGTTATCGTTTGAAAGATTTTAAGTAAATTTCATGACGAGGAATTGAATAATTGATTGTTTATTGTTGTTAATTAACTCTACTTTCAGCACTCTTTGCTATTTCGTGGCTGGCAATTTATATTGGTTTGGGAATTCGGAGTGCCTCGAGAGAGCCCCCTATTTTCTTTTAATATGTCTTCAGTATAAAAAAAAGTTTAGGTAATCGTACTAGTGTTCTTGCTACATACCAACATAGGTAATTCCACTGTACCTTCATTACAAATAAGTTATTTTCCCTGACATAACAAAGTTTAAACATTTTGAATATATTAAAACATTTTCATTTTATGTAAAAAACACTGTTTCGTAAAACAATTGTTTCATTCAAATTAAAAGTCTATCATTTACATTTAATTTCTGCATTACATTTGTTAAAATGCATATAGATCATTCTTTTTTTTAAATTCCAGCAGTTTTTTGAAAAAAGAAAAGAAATACTCACTATATCCTTCTGAATACTGAAGTATAATAGCTGACATCATGCATGTAATTAACAACACTTGCGAAGGAAACATTCTGAAGGCTGAACATCTATACCTGCAAAGCATACGCGTAGGAAAAAAAATAATTTAAGAATCCCTGAAAGTGTAAGTACAGCCCTTATGAAAAGAGAAACTTTGATGCAGTAAAGTTGCAGCAAACTTGCGGCAATCTTTATAATTCGCCAAAAGACCTGAAAGTTGTTCACCAGTGTTCGCTACTAGCAGCGACCTTTCGGCAAACAAATGTAAAAGTTTGCCGCAAATCATGACTTTCTTATAATTGAATGAACTTTGTAAACAACAACTTTACAGCAGTCCCTAAGTTTGTTAGAACTTCGTCGCAAACTTTATAGCATGCCTTTATCGTTAAACAAAGCTTCTTCAATACTGAGCATGCCCCATGCACTAAAAACAGACTTCCTGCTACTTTAAATTTGAAATAGGAGGGAAGTTATAATGTTGGTGTTTTCATGTAAAAAGTAAATGGATGTTATAAATAATAGATCTCTGAGTTATATGTGATTAAATTAGTTCCTTGAACAGGACATGCCTCCAGGGGCATGCATCAATGATCATCTCTTTGTAAGTCATTTTAGAAATTTTTTGTATGTTAATTTGTTATTATTGGTACCAAATTTATGCCAAAGAACCCCCATTTATGAAAATAACAATTGTGTTACACCCTTACTGCCCTTAAAGAATTATCTTTACAGTCGTTAACTTAAACTTTGTGAATGTAATGATGCTTTACAGGAATTGTCTTTTTAATTATGTTCAAATATTGTCATTCTTTATTGTTAAATCACATTTGATTTATATTTTAAAATACTCTATGCTTAATTTCGATATACAGCTAATATAAATATTGTCATACCTAAATCCCAGTTTCTTTATAATTAACCATTATAAAAACAGATTTATTCTTTTTCCATACATATGAATCTGTTAAGAAATTAATCAGCTCATTTTGCATTCTGCACCGGGTAAATTAATAGATATACATGTACCTAAATTTAGTTTTTTTTTTGTGACCTCAATTTATATTTCTCTCTCTCTCATTTCTTTAAAAATAAAATTATGATCAGCAGCTGAGCAGGTTAATAACAATTATTGATCAGAATAGCTAATAAAATTTAAATTTTGATCCCTATGTGCATGTTTTAAAGGAGACATGTCACATACAGTTTTGAAAAAAAAGGATAAACAGAAAGGTAGTCACAAGGCATCATTAGCATACTTGATTTGTCAGAGGTTCACCACAAAAAGTCACCAGAAGTTCACCACAAACTATATAAGGCTATCAAACTATAAGGCAAGTCTGTCGCAACCTTCATTTTGCATGGTAAAAAGTCGCGGTGAAGTTGCCGCAAACTATTTGCAGCAACCTTACCGCTGTGTTTGCGGCAAATTTGCCGCAACAGTTCGCCAGAAGGCTGATTTTTCAGTAAGGGAGGTCAATATTGCTTAAAATAAATTATTTGTCAATTAATCAGTAGTATTATTGTGGGCGCAATTCTCACGAGAACACACAATATTAAATTATTGTTGTCACAAGAACACAAAATATTAAATGATTGTTGACACAAGAACACACAATATTAAATGATTGTTCTTTGCATTATTTCAAGTGGCAAGCAAATAATACATGAGCTGCGTCGGATATGCAAATGCACGTATACCTGTACATGTATCAGACTTCATTGATTTTTAAACATTCAAATAGGAAATAAAAGATGAATGTTGGTCTGTTTTGTAGGGTTCTTATATCAACTCAATTTTCAAACAGTTACAGTCTTTGCATAGAGATTTTTGAAACTCAAAAACAGATGTATTGATATTCATTTGCATAAGGTCGATTTCTAGCCGACGCAGCCTACATGTTCAGGGCGACTTTCCGAAAAAAATATTTCAACGAATAATATGACAACAACACATATTAACATATTCAAATGTACAGTCTTTCATCATTAAATATATAAATAGGAGATTAACAGAATAAAATGACAAAACCTATAAGTAAAACCATTATTTACTATTGATATAATAAAATGGTTTACAAACACATACACATATCATCTTTGTACAAGCATGTAGACAAATGTGATGAGCTTTGCTATTCTTTTGCATTTTATTCCTAAATTGTTTTAATTGTGATTTTATTTTCTAACTGTCTGATGAATGAAACTCAAAGCAAAAGCAAGACAATCTCTATTTTAGAATGTATGTTTGTCCTATTTTTGTACAAGTTCGAAACCGCACTCTTAGACGGACATTTTAGCGTGTTAGTTGACAGGTTTATCCAAGTGTTTTTTAAACCTATGATATTTGGCGAAAGCACGAAAAAAGTATAATGGATCAAACACAGATATGTTGAATAAATGACGTCTTCTCCAGGATAATATTTTTACAATAATATATTTATGATATATGACCATAGTTTTGCAATGCTTTATATAAACTTACATAAAAAAATGCTCAAGAAAAGAAGAAGTGAAAAAGAGAAAGAGAAACAGAAGTATGAACAGAAAAAAAAGATCGCATCACATGTATGTGTGTTTAATCCTGTTATAATTGATAATTTATTTGTCTCCGTAAGTGGGTGTGATTTTTTAGGATAATTATACAACCAGGTTATAACGTATAACGTACAACATGTTTCGAGTAAAATATAGGAGTAAAAAGATAAGGGATTGACAATAAAAATTAATTTTATTTTTTCGCTACGCAATACGATTGCGTACAAGTGTCCCTTTTGGACAAGTACAAGTTGAGACCCTTAATTGCAAGTCATCAAATGATTTAATGCATTAAACTATTTGAAATATTACACGTAAATACGTATGATTTTTAATTATGAACTTAACAATACAGTTATTTATTACTACTTTGTAGTAACAAAACCCGCTTTATCGTAAGTCCAATTTCACCCATAGTCTCCAAAATTTATTTCTATTGTTTATATACTGTCATTGACTCTAGTATTATCTGTTAAATTCCACAAATCGCTAACGTAAAAATCGTGATTAGTCCGTTTTTATGTATTGATCGCGCACCCTTTTTCGCTAAGGGAAGTTCAGAAAAACTGATTTATCGTTGATTGTAATCCGTAAATGTAAAGTTGTGTGTGGGATGTGTCCATTAGAAAGTCCGATTTCCTCCATAAAAAAGAAATTTGATTTAAACAAACATTTTTTAAGCACTTTACAGGTGTTATGAAAAATTAAGACCTACAACACCCCCACTCTTATAAAAAATCAAATTTTAAAAAAGATTTGTGTTTGCCATTAAACAAAACATTCTTAAAAAATTGTCAATCGTCATTCATGTCATTCTGCACATATGTGTAGATAGGTGTAGAAATCCTTTGTGTTATAGACATTGCAAAAGAAATCGACCGTGAAAGTAAAATGGTGCCGAAGGCCGTACTTTGACATATATTTGTTTACTTTTACAAATTGTGACTTGTATGGACAGTTGTCTCATTGGCCATGTTGGCACTCATACCTCATCTGCTTATATCTATCTGTAATTATGTAATATACAATACTGTTAAATATGCTGGGAATTTTTAATATTTGACCATGTTGAACGACTTTTAGCTGAAAGAAAACATAGACAGCTGTATAAAACACCAAATCCGAAAGAATAACCGATAACGTTTCTGACTGTATACATCCATAATTTTTGGACTATTAAGTATACTTCCATATTTCTGGCACTATTAAGTTTACATCCATATTTCTGGCACTGTTAAGTATAAATCAATATTTCTGACACTATTAAAAAAGTGGTACTTTCAAGAGAAAATTCGGCATTTTAAGGCGATTTGATGTGCATTTCTTCTTATGACACAACAACTTTCTCATTTAACTATTGTTGAACATTTATGAGGAAAATGAACAGATGTTAGTTTAATTTTCAATTCATTCAAGTATTTGTATGAATGCAGACGATACAATACTCGTGATATTGCTGGCTGGTTCTAGATTTAAACGATATAATTGTGACAGAAAAACAATGAAAATTTTGAAAGGATATGTGCTGACATTATGTCAGACAAGTGAAAAATTTCTTGTTATCACTTTTACTCCGGGAGAGGAGGATATCGAGTGTCACTTCAATACATTTTGAACCCAGGATTTCCGGATTTTTCATTCCATTTTAACAATCAATGGGAAATCTAGTGTCAAAATTTTATGCCTTACTATGAGGTATGGGGTTTGTTGATTGTTGAAGTGGAAATAAGTATTGTGTTACAGATTCATACCATTTGGCATTCTTCTGAAAAAAAAAACAAAAAAAAAAACTATATTTTATGTAGTGTAATAGTCTAAAAGTCATTGTCCTCTTTTATTTTCAGTTTTTAGTTTCAATATTTGGCTTAAAAGGGGGAGGTGACAACACTCCCTTCTTGCCCATGGCTCCTACGCTAGTAAAAACATTTTGAAAAATGGGGTACCGACTATTAGAGACTCTAGTCTATCATATTGAAGTCACATTCGCTTGGGGAATGCCCCTTTTTATTTTTGTTTATTCTAATTAAATGTAAGTAAAATTTCTTAATTTCTTTTACTTATTTTCTCCCTTTTAAACGTATTCTTGTTATTATCGTTTGAATTAACAATAAGGGTATTTTATGATCGAGGCCCCTGAATTCCAATTTCAAATAAATTCCAAACATAAAATTTAACAGGAGGGTCCAATCTATCAGGGCCTGTGATTGGAGATCTTGCAGGTTTCCGGAATTATGAGAAAGCACCTCAAAGGGAATCACATTATCTTACATTTAATTATTTTTACAATTTGAAAACATTATTAATTTGCATGAAAACATTTAAGGAATGGATGCTTTTTTTGTAATTTTATTGGGGTGTAAAAGTGTTGACCGATGCCCATTTTGTATGAAGCGTGTGTACGATCAACACTTTTACACCCCAATAAAATTACATAAAGAAGCATTGATTTCTTATAATTACATTTGGATGCTAAAAAGACCATGGACAAAAAGTTTTATCAAGTTTTCTGTTATTTACCTGTGCACTTTTTTGT